TTTTTTTTTTTTTTTTTAATGACGCACCAAATGGTACATTTTTGTATGAACGGTTCATGCGATATTTTGAATTGCTAGGAGGTTCCCTTCTCGATCTAGAGACAAAAAGAAACATTTTCCTCACATGCAAATAGAGCAAATGGGTAACGGTTTAGGTTCTTCTCCCTATCTCACATCTTATTAGCAGTTCTCTTACCCCCTTTAACCTGTCCGTTCTTACAGTTTGTATACAAAAGCGAAGCTGCACAGGTAGGTAGCCATTTTAGGAACTTTTTTTTTTTTTTTTTTCTCTGACTTGTTCATATTTTTCACAGCGCACATGGGAAATGTGTGTCGGTTTGGCTACCTTGTCACGGTGATTTGTGTAATCCATGAGTAGTCAATACCATTTTCTGTCCCCACCCCCAACTTTGTGGTGGAAAAATCTTTAACGACATCGTTTTATGTTTTCTCCCCTGATGTTGCGATAATGTGATACTTTTTTTTTTTTTCCACTTCACAACTGTGTAAGCGAAAAAATAAGTCTTCCCCCTTTGCAATAAAAATGTGGGGCTACTTCGATTGAGTTACTTTTTCTTTTAATAAATACACAGATTAGCAGTTTTGTGCGTCTCTGGCAATTTTTTACAGTCGCCACATTCATTTTTGTTGTCCGGCGGACACCACCTTTCCCCTGGACGCGGCGTCATGCGGATTGTCCCACCCCACAACATTTGCTTCAAATCGGCTTACGCTATTATATTTGTTGTTTCATTTGTTATTTTTTTATTTTATTATTTTTTTTCGAACCACCCCTGCTGCCTGTGTGCCTGGAACTCCTCTTTTTTGACTTTACTCCCTTTTACGAAAATACGTCTGAGCGACGCAAAATTCCCCCCACCCCTTCCCGAATGCAAAATGGACAGACGACTGACCCACCTAAATGAGTACGCTAAAATTTTCCAAGTTGGTGCGGATGAAAGGCGACGAGGAGAGAAGCATAGTGGAAAGAAACACCACGCAGAGTACTCTGAGAAGGAAAGACATTATTCAAAGGCGAAAGGAAAAAATGCTTTCATATCGCCATCAAACCATGTGGAGGAGCGAGGCTCGTCCAGAAAGTTACACCCATGCAGGGAGAGCAAACATGAGTACCAGACACAGAGAGTACGGAAATCAAATGAATATAACCAGTTCGGAAGTGAAGTATCTTCCTCCAGCTTGAGCTTAACGCCAAAAGGTGACAAAACTTTGAATCACCCGCATTATGAAATGAAGAGAAGGAACACCAAAAAGAACCTAAACTATTATGTTGAAGAAGTTTGTATATGCAAAAGGTGTTACATGAACGAATTGCACGAAAGGAAGAGAAGGACTGCAGTTTATACGTTAGAGTTTAATAACTTGGTCGACTGTGAACCTGTGAGTGGACATCATTTAGTGAAGAAGAATGCCACCCTTGCGCATGACTTGAAATATAAGAGCAAGTATCGTCAGGAGCGCTCTGCTGGGGAGGGAAACAAACGAGTAATGATCGTGGAGAAGCTGCCAGAACAAATCCCGCAGAAGAAAAATTTGTTCCAATTTTTGAACTCCATTTTTAGCGTGAATTAGACATGGTCCAAGTGGATGGGAGCAATGAGTCGTGTACTGGGTAGCCGCGTAGCATCATAGCAGAGTAGACACATGGGAGGGCTAGGGATATGGGGACGGTACCTCCTTTTTTTTTTTTTTTTTTTTTTTCCTCCCCATTCTGATGTGACAACCCGTTGGGAAGTAATTTACAACTATGTGGTTAGAGGGGCATATCGGGGTTGCATTGTTACCAGGATTTGTCTTTAAATTGATGTGTTCAGAAGGGTGGACAAGATGACGCACGCGTCGTGCGGGTGGTCGTGCATGGCACAATAATTGCTGCGCTTCCCCTCACCGGTGTGCCCCCTACATACATCTCCTCATTATGGATACTCGTCTGCATGGAGACCACGGCTCAGATATGTCTGCCCCGTTTTAAAAGTGCACCCACTCTTTCCTAACTGCCCCTTTTGCCCCCCTCCCCCCACGTGTCGATTTTTTACTCATGCACGAGGTAAACATTTGGGTGCAAAAAAAAAAAAAAAAAAAAAAAAGGCACATAATTATGCCTTCCGTTGCTCTTGTTGGCATTTTTTACTCTAACCCTGATATGCGAATTTTTTTTTTTTTTTTTTTTTTTGTCACCTGGGTGAGATAGTGTTTGGCTCGGCACTTTTTTGATGTCCCTTTTTTTGATGACACATTTTTGTACTTCTTTGTTATGCCCATTTTTGTGCCGTCCCCGGCAGAGCAATTTTTTATTTCAATTTGCCTCGCCTTCCATACCTTCTTGCGTATTCCCCTTTTTATATATAGTGGCAGAGGGCGGGCCTGCGCGGATGCAAGCCCTGTTCTCTCTGTCGCCTGTCCAAATTCGTTCCAACTTGTGACCGTGAGGGGTGACTCCTGGCCAGGTCTAAATGTGTCTTTAAGAAGGAAGAAAATTATTCCGAGGGCCCACCTTTGAGCGAGCTTCCCCTATGAGCGGGATAAGGGCGCTGTGCCTTTTTGCCTCTGTGGCAGAGGGAGGGGAGCATGCCCTGATTTATGAGAAGCGTTTCCCCAACGTGGAGGTGTGCGCGAGAAGTGTGCAGGTTAGGGAAGGAGCTAAAAAAATGAGCCAAAAAATGAGATAAAAAAGGCGGAGAGTGGCGTTTAAATGCTCACCTTCGTACGTGTAACGCCTCTCCACCCCCTTCTATTAGCAGACACACAATTACGTGAATTTTTCCAAACTGAGGAAAGTGGAAGAACTTCTTAAAGAGCAAATAATAAAAAGAAGCTTGCAAGAGGTAGAGACACATTCCGAGTTTGTCCAACTGAACAGAACAATATGTTGTTACTCCGTACGTGTTAAGAATAAAATTGTTTGTCCCTTCTTGTTGATGAGAAGTAACAGTTTCATTTTGATAATCCTTCTGCTGATGGAAAATGTGAACACTGAAAGTCCCCAGGTGGTGGAGGCTGAAAATAATACCAATAAGTTACTCTACTATAACTTTATGAAGGATTTTTTAACCTACGTGGAAGGTAAGATGGTTAATCGAGCTTCTTCCCTTTTGTCTCCATCATACAGACAAGGGAGCCACAACAAGGTAGTAGTTCTCCTCCAAAAAATTCGCACCATAGGGGATGCATACATAACTTGCACCATTCCATTTGGCAGACTTCTCGGAGGGAGAAGTTCTTCATTTATAAATTACCTACAAGGAGATATGTACAAAAGGGGAGAAGTTTTGCAGAGTACCTTCTTCCCCTTTTATAACTTTTTGATATTGGTGAACAAGGACAGTGTTCACCAGGGGAGGAAGGATAAACCAAGTGTGTGTAACAGTTCTGCGTTTCAGGGGGGTAGCGAGAGTGGCTTGTCGGAGGGGAGACTCCAATTTACCTCCCCGAGTCAACAAAGCGACAGCGATAAGGACAGCACGTTTAGTAGCGATGATTTAGAAGACGAAAACAGTTCAATGGGGACACTTGAAAAATTTCCCTGTGCAGTTGCCAAGGGGAAGGAGAAAAATGATGTTCTGTACATAAATGCCAAGCCTCCCTTTGTGCCTCCCACGGAAGGGGCTCACGCAAGCGCGGTTCACACAAGAGGGATACACGCAAACGGGCGGATAAGAGAGACCTTCCTCAAGCTACTTAAAAAATTCTACACCTTGGCCAGGAGGGACAACCAGGGGTTGCCTCTACTTCCACCCAATGCACAATATCACTTATATCTTTTCTTCTTATACAATTATTCCGCCCGTTTGGGGACGCACCAAAAAATCTCCGTCGAAAAACACTCTACTGAAAAAGAGAGCGTGAGGATTAGCAGGGGGAACATTCAGACCTACGTCCCGATCTATGTGCACGAGTAATGAGGCCATCGTGGGGGAGAGACAGAGTCCGCTCGTTTACGAGTGGGGGCCAACTCGAAAGAGGAGACACATTTGCTATATGTATACCGTTCTTAAATCCCCCTCGTAGGAGAAGCAACCGGTCTCCCACTCATCTGCTAATTAGGGAGGAGCTCACCGGCTTTGTAACCAGTTTGGAAAATCAGACCGCGGAAGTGAAGGTTCGAATGCGTTCTTCTCGTGCGCATTTTACGTGTGCGTCCGCTCACATCACTTCTCCGCTTCCACCCCTCTGCAGGGCGAGATACTACTGCAGTGCGACGACGAGCGGTACTTGGACGTGGACCTGACACTCGAGCTGGACGACCATGTGGTCGATGTGTACGCAGCAGATTTTGTCAACATGGAGAACAGGTACTCAACGGAAAGGGGAAAGACTCTACACATGCGAGTGGCTACCAAAGATACGAACAACACTGTGCTCACGTACTACTGCAGCGGTGTACCTTCTCCCCTTATCGGTAAGTGTACAAGTGTAAAATTGCGGGACGAACCTGCTAACACGATAAGGATAGGATGCCTTCCGATTGTACTTTTAAAAGAAGACGCAGAGCATTAGTGATAACCCAATTTGAATTTCCCCTTCCCTCAGGTTGCTACACTCTTAAAAAGGTCAGCAGTAAATGCGCACAAGTAGATGTGACACTGCAGTGGAATAGGAACGCGCCTTCCATAAGATTTGACAAAAAAATAACGGAGCCCTTTTTTGTGCGACTTCCCTTTGACGGAGAAATTGTTGGCCACAATTTGAAATGCAATTTGGTAAAGCTCGCCACAATAAAAAAAAAAAAAAAAAAACACAAATAAACAAATCAGCACAAAAAAACTTCACAGTGAAAAGAACAACTTGAATGCGGGATGGCACGGGCCACATGACTGATTTTCCTTTTTTTTGTTTTTTTTTTATTCCTCCTTCCTATTTAGGGAAAGATAAAAATTGAAGGCAAACAGGAAATAAAGTGGACACTTCTTGACCTTCCGAGTAATCTCCTCCGCGCGGAGGATAAAAAAAAAATAATGCAAAACAAAGGGATAGACGCAAAACGACTACCTCTACATGGGCGTTGTTGTCGCTCCGTTTCGCTTCCAATACATATAAGTACATTATTTTTTTTTACAAACTTCGTTGCAGGAGAATCCCGCGCATGCCTGTATGGAACGGTCCAACTGAGTCATTTGGGTAAAAATATTTCTTTTCCAAAAGTGCATTGTAAAATAAAGTCGCCAACCTTGGGAAGTAGCCCCCATTTGGAGTTTCCTCACGGGCATTTGCACATGGAGGCGTTTTTTTCTTCTTTTTTTTATTTTGTCTTGTCCCATGTAGAGGAGTAACTTACATGTAGTTTATGCTTACGTTTGCGTACTGCCCTTTTTTTTTTATTTTAATTTTTTTTTTTTTTTCAGACATGGGGGCAAAACAGCTAGCTGCTGAAATCCACCTGTTGTCCAAGTGTGCTTACTCCAAAACGGCGGTGACGCATGTGAGCGAGGAGATACACCGAGAGCAGTTCTTCCACGCACGGGGGTTGAAGCTGCTCAGGTCCTAACCCACCAAGGACACTTTCACCCTATTAGCAAATTAACAGTTAACGTACTTGCGCATTTTTCCAAACTTAACATGCCGATTGAATTTTTTTAAAAAGTGATTCAAGTACACGTCCTGCGGAGGGGATTGGGGTAGGGAGAAGTATGCAAGTGGGTGACATGCTTTTGCGGAGGGAAATCTTACCGTATATCATCCCGCTGTGCACAAAAGAGGACCCTTTTTTGTATCACTTCAATGGTACTTACCGAGTAGGCCGTATTTGCGCAGGACAAAATGACCTTGTAAAGACGTTCACATTTTATGTTAATAATTTTTTTTATTAAAATTTGAGACAGGATTTTGTAGAGGGCGTCATTTTCGGTGTGGCTCTCCTTTTTGGAGTAGCCGTATTTGTTTTTGGTGATTCTTCCGTTGTGGCATCCCTGCAGTTGGGTGAGGTGGGTCATCATGTGGTGAAGCGCAGCTGTTGCTACCTTTGGCCGTTACGCCTAACCGCGCAACTGCTTAATCGCGCAATGGCTTAATTGGTGCTTCCCTTTACCTGAATAACTTGAAAAATGGTGAGGGCGTAGAACAAGTCAGCCACGTTGTTCACGTCGAGGCGCACTAGGCTGTTTGCCCAGAGCGGCAGGGCTTGGAAGCTCTCCTTCAGAATGCGCTCTTCCGCTTCACGCAGCTGCAACGGGGGGACAGAAGGGAGAGTTGCATGTGTGTGTAGAGATCTAAATGGTGTGGATGGGTAGAGGTAGCCGCCTGTACAAGTGGACGAACCTGGACCTGGCAGAGGTGAGAAAATATGTGAGCGAAATAGGTGCCATCTGTGAGGTTGAATTTGACGTCTGGCTTAGATTTAATGAACTCGTTTATATCACCCATCGTGACGGTTCCTGGCGCGTCGCAATAGTTTTCGTAAAACAGGAAGCTCAGATTGGAGTCGTCAAAGGGGCGTTCCCGCTGCTGCTCCTCCCTCTGCTGCGTCCCCTGATGACTCCTTCGCATTAGCCGGTCCACGAGCGCGCGCTGCTCCCGGCTGACATTTTGCGCATTGTACTTGTGGACGTTTTTGTCGCGGTCCGCTTGGAAGTTCACCCGTTTCATGAACTCGATTTGGGCTGGGCTCTTTTCACACACAAAGGGGAAGGCAGAGAGAAGTTTCAACTCGATGAGCAGCACGACGTGCTTGATGGTCTCCACTAGATCGGTGAAGGTTTTGTCGGAAGGACGCGAGTCGTAGTCGTGGGGTACAAGTAACATGTCATCGTCCAACTTTAGCTTCTTTAGATTTGAGTTGGCGTCGCAGTTGAAGGGGGCCAAGGGGTTCTTCTCCCTCTCGGGTTCAACTGTCCTGTGCACATTTGCACTTGTGTCGTCTTTGGCCAGTTCGTCGTTTCCGCTTCCATTTCCGCTTCCACTTCCAATCCCATTTCTAATCCCATTTTCGTGTGTGTGTGTTTTTTTTTTTTTTTTTTTTTT